CGTGTGAGGAAGAGATAATAAAGTTAGAGATACAATAGAAATTAATGAAATGTTACGGTCTTCAAGCGGTTCAGATATCAGCAATACGTATACGGTATACCGATAACGTGGGGCGTCGACTGTGATTATTCTTATCAGTAAAATACCCCCAATTATGAGCAAAGATAAATAAGTTAAAAAATAAAAATAAATCAATTAATAAATAAATGAAACGTCCGACTCCATTAATGTCTCTCAACTGATTCTTTAAAACGCCATTATATTACATCAGCTACCCGCAAAAGATGGCTACTCCAGGTTACACTATATAACTATATTAATAAGTAAAGGGATTAATGTAAAATAAAAGTGATGGGTATAGTGAGGTGTGGGTATGGTGAGGTGTTGTGGGTAGGGAGGAGGAGCATAGTGAGGTGTTGTGGGTAGGGAGGAGCATAGTGAGGTGTTGTGGGTAGGGAGGAGGAGCATAGTGGGGTGTTGTGGGTAGGGAGGAGGAGCATAGTGGGGTGTTGTGGGTAGGGAGGAGGAGCATAGTGGGGTGTTGTGGGGTAGGGAGGAGGAGCATAGGAGGTGTTGTGGGGTGGAGGAGGGCATAGGGTGCTGTGGGGAGTAGGAGAGGAGCATAGTGAGGTGTGTGGGTAGGGGGTGCATAGGGGGTGTTGTGGGTGGGGAGCATGGGGTGTTGTGGGTGGGAGGAGCATTGTGTGGGTAGGGGAGGAGCATAGTGGGTGTTGTGGGTAGGAGGAGGAGCATAGTGGGTGTTGTAGGGGAGGGACATGTGGGTAGGGAGGGAGGGCATAGTGGGGTGTTGTGGGGAAGATAGTGTTGTGGGTAGGGAGGAGGGCAGGGGTAGTGTGGGGTGTGGGGTGTTGGGTAGGGAGGAGGAGCATAGTAGGGTGTTGTGGTGGTGAGGAGGAGCATAGTGTGGGGTGTTGTGGGTGGGGAGGAGGTAGAGGGGTGTTGTGGGGTAGGGGAGGAGCATAGTGGGGTGTTGTGGTGGGGAGGAGGGCATAGTGGGGTGTTGTGGGTAGGGAGGAGGAGCATAGTGGGGTGTTGTGGGTAGGGGAGGAGAGGTGGGGTGTGGGGTGGGGAGGAGGAGCATAGTGAGGTGTTGTGGGTGGGGAGGAGGAGCATAGTGGGGTGTGGTGGGGAGGAGGAGCATAGTGGGGTTGTGGGTGGGGAGGCATAGTGGGTGTTGTGGGTGAGGAGCATAGTGGAGGTGTTGTGGGTAGGGAGGAGCATAGTGGGGTGTTGTGGGTAGGAGGAGGAGCATGAGGTGTTGTGGGTAGGAGGAGGAGCATAGTGAGGTGTTGTGGGTGGGGAGGAGCATAGTGAGGTGTTGTGGGTAGGGAGGAGGAGCAGCATAGTGAGGTGTTGTGGGTGGGGAGGAGGAGCATAGTGAGGTGTTGTGGGTAGGGAGCAGGAAGGAGGAAGAGGAGAGGTAAATAATGGTCGAATCATCACGATAATTCTCCATTGATAATTTGAGCTACACTTTTTTTACTCTTCCGCTCCACAGACGTTCATTCGGGAGGACCTTGATATAAAATTACCCGTGTTGGCCAAGCATTGTTAACATCTCCTCAGCTAACAAGACTACTCTCCTAATATCCTGGGGGTAATTATTCACATGCGGAAGTTGGAGATAAAGGCGGAAGAGCGAGCGAGGAACTGCTTGCACCTCACCTACCGACTTCCGGGGGGTTACTGGCGGCTTCTTCTGGCTTCCTGAACCTCACCGGGATCCAGGAAATAAACCGTCACCCGTCTATTGTTTACGTGCTGTCAGCTGTTGGGTTCTTGAGGTTTGCGTTGCTCATGTATTCGTCAGCTTGGTGCAGGGTTTATAGTTTCTTTTACGGGTTGTTAGAGATTTTCTTTTATTTTTTAGTTTTTAGTCGAGTTCATTATTATTTCTCCTTTCTGATGTAGTATTTTTTTTTACAATTATAAAGCTGAGTAATAGATTTTTCAGTGACTCCCCTGCATACAGAGGCAAAGAGAGAGAGACTCCATCAGTTTCCACAAAGTTGGCGGCCAATTTATGTAACAGTTGACCCTCACAAGGTGACGAAGTGACCTATATGGCGAGGCAACCACCACCACCCACACCTCTCCTTCCTCACCCTCGCCTTTACCTACTCCCTGTCTTATTTTCCGTGTGTGTGTGTGTGTGTGTGTGTGAGGCCTTGACATACACGCCAGGCTCCTCCTCTGACCTACATACTTGCGGAAGTTGGTCGCCACGAGTCCTTTCAGCCGCCTCTCCTCTACCTGTCTTACCTCCTCCCTCAACCCTGTCTGCCTCACCTCCCCCCCATGCCTGCTTTACCCCCTCCCCCCTGCCTGCCTCACCCCCCCTTGCCTGCCTGCCTCCCCCCCCTGCTTCCATCTTCCACCCTCTCAACCCCTCTCCCTCCTTCCCCCCTCCCTCTTCGTCATCCCCTTTCTTTCTCCCCCTCACTCCTCCTCGTTCTCATTTTCACATTCCTCGTCCTCCCTCTTTCTTCCCAATTCACTTTCCTTCAATTCTTTTCTCTTCCCCCTCTTCTCCTTCAATCCCTCTTCTCCTTCACTTATCTTCCTCCTTCACCCCCTCTTCTCCTTCACCCCCAATTTTCCTCCTTCTCCCCCACACCTTTAACATTGACGCTCACCTCCCAAATCAACAACACAGGTAACTTTACTTTTCAGGTACTGTAATTGCAATCTCCCAGGTAAGGTCGTGGTGCAGCTGCTGGGGCGAAGGTCTCAATTTATTACTTATTCTTATCATTAACTTAAGGACGTAGTTACAGCATCTCTTAAGGGGTCTTGTTTTTATTGGTGGAGGGTGAGGGGGTGGTGGAGGGTGAGGGGGTGGTGGAGGGTGAGGGGGTGGTAGATGTGGTGGAGGATGAGGGGGTGGTGGATGTGGTGGAGGGTGTGGTGGTGGGGGATGTGGTGAAGGTCAGAGTGAATGTAAAACACTAATGTGGTGATGATAAATTATGTTAAGGTATCCGGTGTTCCCTGGCTGAAGGTACGACCACGATGCTCTGACACAACACTGAAGGTACGACCACGATGCTCTGACACAACACTGAAGGTACGACCACGATGCTCTGACACAACACAACACTGAAGGTACGACCACGGAGTAATTGCCTCACTCTATGGGCAAATACTCGCTTAAATAAACACTCAAACTCAGGTATATACGTTAAGGTTTTCTCACACTTATATACATTAAGACATAAGGGAATATTTGATTGATATTGTGATCCATGGGAAAATATTCTAGATTACCTGAAGATTAGCTCCCTCTTAGCTTATTTCACCTGATGTTAAACACCCTAACGTTTTATCTGGAGGGGTTAGGTTATGTTAGGTTAGCGTTAGGATGGTTAATCGTAAGATGGAATAAGCTGGAGGTCTAATCTTCAGGTGATCTAATAGTCTATGAACTATGTCACTCGGGTTAATAGAATCAAGATACCATTCCACATATTGAGGCGAAAACGTTCAGGTGAGGTACTGTGTGTGTGTGGAAGTGTTGTGGGTGTGCGTGTGTCGCTTCATGCCCCCAGTGCCTCGTGGTCATCCCCTGTCATACCCCCGCCTGCAGGGACCACTCAGCCTTCACTAGTATTTCCGGTAGAAAATGAAAGCGAATCACCCGACGCTGACCTAAACCAACCCCGGGAGGAGGAGATGGGGGAAGGTGGGGGGGAGGAGAGACTAATCGCTGTGTGTTCCATCTGGCAAGGGAGGTGTTGAGGGTGTTGGTGGGTGACGGGGAGGCGGTCAATGATTCATCTGTTTTGTACGATCAAACACTGAACCTCTGATAGAGTAAACGTGACCCATTGAGCTACAGCTGTACTAAAAATATACCTCCCACAGCACCTTCATATAAACCTTAGATCAATAACAGTAAGGTGTCCTGTTCAATCATGTACCTGTACCTATATTTACACTATTGAGGTTAGAACAATGGTAATTATTGCCGAAGTTCCCAAAAGGGCAGTGGTGAAGGACTTGTTTTGTCCCAGTATCTATTAATATCACCTTTACGTGGCAGACAGACAGAATCACCTCTTAAAAAGAAAGTCTGAGTCGCTGTACACGTGCTGTGAAACTTTTACCGCAGTTGTAGTTGATGTCACTCACATTAGTTAACGTTTGTGGCTAAACATACTAGTTACTGCTGAGTGTTGGCATGTGCGGAGCGGAGGAGGAAAGTTCAAACTGTTGCCGTCTTGAGTATAATTACCAGGTGAGGCACTGTACTCCCAGACCTCCAACACTTGGGAATGGACCCAGAGAAAGTCTAGACGAGTGTATGAGAAACACAGTGAGGAAACACATAACAAGTGGAGTGCAGCCGTCAAGCGAGATTATACACGACCACGGGGATGAGATACACAAGTTACCGATTTCAGTCAATACCAGATACTACTTCACAAGGTCGTCAGAGAGGACCAGTCACGAGAGGTCCCATTCTTGAGAGGGTCGAGGACCACTGACGAGGGGCCATATTCCTGTATGGGTCGTCAGAGAGTCATGAACCGTCTGTGGGGCATCCTGCTCCTGTAGGGGTTCTCAGAGGGTCGTATATCATTTTGACAAGGGATCCCCGGGAGAAAGTGAGGAGGCTGGTGGGCGTGAACGTGGTGGTCCTCACGTAGAGAGGCGCGATGGAGGCAACAGCAGGCGCGATTTAGGCCGGGAACATCAACAAGGTGTTTACACTTAGTCTCCGTGTTTACGTTTCCACTTGGTGAAGCCTCTTGAAGGTTTCCCGATTTACGGAGGAATACTGGACCATGACTTTTCTTTCACGGATCTTTCCTTATTGTGTTATTATCTGTGCAAAGGTGACAATCTCTCTCTCTCTCTCTCTCTCTCTCTCTCTCTCTCTCTCTCTCTCTCACATACATACACGTAATATAATCAACTTTACACTGGCTCTGGATAAAGTTAACATTAAGTAAATACAGTATAGAGACAATACTCACCACAGATGACGGTGCCGACCAGTAAACTCAGCGTCACTGTACAGATGGTGGCGAATCTCTGCAGGTGGGGAGAAAGTGACGGTTAGTACTCTTTGGGCACTGATTTGGGGTGGGAAGTACATTGTTTATCTCTCTCTCTCTCTCTCTCTCTGATTATCTATCTATCTATCTATCTACCTCACTCCATCACAATAAAGCACAGCACCACTAGCGGATGAGAACACCATTACACACATCGCCGCGCCATTTAACCCAGCGCCATAATTAAGTTTGATTAGCATCTTGTAGATTAAACCGTGGGCGATGGTAAACAACCTCCAATTACCACATTACGAAACGAGGTCTTGTTACCACACTTACTACCGTGAGAGAGTTGACTTCTTGTCCACTTAGGTGTGTCTGTACTGTATGTGTGTTTGTCCACTTTGTTTTTTGTCTGTATCTACGTATGTCTATTTAAGTGTATGTATGTATGTATGTATGTATGTATGTGTGTCCACTTTGTTGTTTGTGTCTCTGCGTGTGTCCATTTACGTGTTTGTGTATGTATGTATGTGTCCACTTAGGTGTGAGGGTGTCCACTTAAGTTTGTGTGTATGTATGTATGTGTATGTGTGTATGTCTACTTTGCTATGTATGATACGTCGTTGTTTTCGTGTACACTTAATTATGTACGTTGTTGCTTACTTGTCTACTTAATTGTGTAGGTATGTTGTTTACGTTGTCACTTAACTATTTTCATGGTTGTTTACGTCGCCACTTAGCTGTTTATATCCTTATTTACGTCGTCACTTAACTATTTATATCGTTCTTTACGTAGTCACTTAGTTGTTTACGTCACCACTTAGCTGTTTACATTTTTGTTTAGGTCGTCACTTAGTTGTCTACAGTTTGTTTACGTCGTCACTTAGTTGTCTACAGTTTGTTTACGTCGTCACTTAGTTGTCTACAGTTTGTTTACGTCGTCACTTAGCTGTTTACGGCATTGTTTACGTCGTCACTTAGCTGTATACAGTTTGTTTACGTCGTCACTTAGTTGTCTACAGTTTGTTTACGTCGTCAGTTAATTATCATCTTATCTATTTTTATCACATTCGTACCTCTTATCTTTCTTCTAATCATATCTACCAACATTCATCTCTTCTCTAACTCCTCCTTTGTCCTATTTATTCTATCTTATTTCAATCTATCTTTTCCTCCACCTCTTTCATCCTATTTTAAACCCCAGTTATCATCTTTTTCATTCTATCTCCCCAAATTCATCTATTTTTTCCCTAATTTTTCTTTAATTTCATTCTATCTCTTCTCTCATTTTCCCTAATCTTCTTTCATTTCATTCTATCTCTTCCCTCACCTCTTTTCTGACTCCCGGGAAGATGAGGAGGAAGGCGATGAAGACGGTGAGGAAGAGGAGGCAGATAGTGATGGTGGGAACATCGCCCGTGACGCTGGTCCGGTTGCTGTAGGCGTAGAGCGTGGGTCCTCCATCTGATCTGAAGGCATCGAACCAACCCCTCATTTTCTCACCCTTTCTCAGGCACTCGAGTACGGTTCTGTGGAGGAGAGAGAGAGAGAGAGGGAAGGGGGGTTAATGGGTGGTTCTACGGGGAGAGAGAGAGAGAGAGAGAGAGAGAGAGAGAGAGAGAGAGAGAGAGTTATGATGGAGGCTGTACAATTTATCTCTATAACACCTCTTGCATGTTTAATGACCAGGTGTTCATATTTGGGCGCACTATAAACACATCTTTTTACGCACACACACCCACACACACACCTTAACATAAACAACCTTCGAATATGCTTCTTCATTACCTCATGAAGGACACCTAAAATTATTATCCTGATCATCATCACACTAACACCTCTATTATATCATTCAGCACCACTTAACGGGCCCCATGGACAGTTCCTTCCCACTTCCCGTGTCCTTCAGGGCGGCGGGAGGAGGAGGAGGGTGTAGAGGAGTACCGTGTTTGTGTTTGTTGCAGTGGACCACCAGCAAGTGACGGACGGTGTATGGATAGGCTAGGTGTGTGTGTGTGTCTCTCTCTCAATGTTGGCTTCGGAGGTCAATTCGGTAAACATTATATAGCACATCTAATACAGTATATTACACGTATCAGCTAAGACGATGAACACAAAACGTACGTGCACACTTGTAGGGTCCGTCACTCAGTAAACGTTTCGAACAATGGTGCATTTATTTTATGCACTTAAATTCTTCTAAAGTGTGTAATGAGTGCGAATGGTTGTCCTCGCTAAACGTCAGTGTTGGTAGCGTGACTGTAGTCCATGTGTTGAGGTGAGGTGAAGCATTGTTCCTGGTTGTGTAAGGTGGTGAGGCCTCTTTCTCGCGTACACACACACACACCACACATATAAAGCACATCATCCCCCACCGTACTAAACCTTTCCAAAAGATACACTGTAAACGAAAAAAAAAAAAATATATCCTCGTATCTTTTTCAGCATCAAATGTAAATCGGTTGCCACAAGAAGCCGCTGCAGCAAATATCCAAGAAAGAGAAGAAAAACAAGGCCTCTTTGAATTGCTATTGTTTCCGTCATGGCTACGACTCGCAGAATCTGGTGACCCTAATCTCCGCTCTACACCACGGGTCTTCAGTTGAGTGACGCGCGGCGATAAAAACAGTTAGGCTGTCGTGGTGGTAAATGAGAGAACTAATGAAAGGTCGAGAAGGTGGGAGGTCTTTTGTTAGCATCGGTTTGAAATTCACATCAGAATTTAAATGTGTGGTTGAATATGTCTTTGGTCACCTGAGTACGATGATAGCTACCTGAGTACGATGATAGCTACCTGAGTACGATGATAGCTACTTGAGTACGATGATAGCTACCTGAGTACGATGGCAGCTACCTTAGTACGATGGCAGCTACCTGAGTACGATGGCAGCTACCTGAGTACGATGGCAGCTACCTGAGTACGATGACAGCGACCTGAGTACGATGACAGCTACCTGAGTACAATGACAACCATCTGAGTAAGATGACATAACCCCTTGAATACAAATAATAAGTACCTTATCCTCTTGAGTACGATAAGTACCATTTCATCTAACTCAAGGAATCATATCATATATTCAAAGGACTGAAACCGTACTCAAGTGATTAAACTATCTAACTTAAGGGTACAAAAAATCATTGTACTCAAGAGGTTGGCATCGTACTCAGCTAAACTAAATAAATTAACGAACATCTTGCAATAAGGACAGTACAGGTGTGGCGCAGAGGTTACCGAAGTGTCAGACAGGTGTGTAAGTCAACCCCGCCCGCGCCACCTGCGGTACAAACCCACAACTGTTACTTTCTATATACACCACCTGCTCGCGGCGCTTCAGGGTTCACATACCACCTGCTTGTGTGATTATAGACACAGCAATATACACACAGGGTTAATAGTCGGCGGTATAATGGCCCGTTTAAGAACTACCCGGTATATAGGTGTTGTAATTAAGGGAGGTTATGATTGGTTCCCCCGTTGTGTGAAGGGTGAGGGTCTGGGCGGGTGAGGTGCGTCGGGGGTCTGGGCGGGTGAGGTGCGTCGGGGGTCTGGGCGGGTGAGGTGCGTCGAGGTCTGGGCGGTGGGAGTGCGTCAGGGGTCTGGGCGGGTGAGGTGCGTCGGGGGTCTGGGCGGGTGAGGTGCGTCGGTTGAAACTGAAAGTGTGTGTGTGTGTGTGTGTGTACAGGCGGGTGTTCTCCTAACCTACATCATGATACACTTGCATAACTACAGATAGACTATAAAAAAATATAAATATATATACCATAACCCTTGATCTATATATAGGCTATATATTTTTAAGACAAAGTAACAGTACAGTAAGAATCTTAGTTAACGAACTCAATTAACTCAGAGTAATGTACAGGTAAACAAAAATAAAATATCCTAAGCTCTCACTACAATACGCCAACTCCACAGAAAACGGGTTGAAGACACTTAACATTCCTACCACGGCGATCATCTTAACTACTGTGCTGTACTTGTGTACCTGTTATGAATTTCCACTTCATATTAACCACCCCGGAAGATAAAATTAACTCACTATTTTTTGAGATTTTAATTTTTATTGATGGATCTTTTTTTTTATTTATTTTTTATTAAGGTAAATATTATCATTGGATATCGATCGTTAAAGGCGAGATAGAATAAGATCTCTATTACTTAGTATTCAGGAGGGAGTGCAGGACTAGGTGAGGTCGATGACTGGTGTTCACTCTAGGAAGTTTGTGCGTGTGTTAGTCATCTCAACTCGGTCATCACCACCACCACAACAACCATCACCACCACCACAACAACCATCACCACTACCACCACAACAACCATCACTCTACCACCACAACAACCATCACCACTACCACAACAATATCGCCAACACCACCACCACCACCACAACCATCACCACCACAACAACCCTCACACCACCACCACAACAGCCATCCCACCACCACAACAACCCTCACCACCACAACAACCTCACCACCACCACAACAACTCACCACCACCACAACCATCACCACCACCACCACAACAACCATCACCACCACCACAACAACCATCTCCACCACCACCACAACAACCATCACCACCACCACCACAACAACCATCACCACTACACAACAACCATCACCACCACCACCACAACAACCATCACCACCACAACCATCACCACCACCACCACAACAACCATCACCACCACCACCACAACAACAACCATCACCACCACCACAACAACCATCACCACCACCACAACAACCATCACCGCCACCACCACCACCCATCGTAAACACAAGCGCTATCACCACATACCACACGTTACGTCACCATATAGCATCATACTTGTTTATGTCACAACAATAACACACAACACCATACCTAAACGAATGAGATATATATACACACAATACATAATTATATATACAGTCTGGAGGTTATATAATTAAAAGACAAATATTAGTTATAGCGGTATAGCGTAAGTTAAGAGATTATAATATGTATAATTGAAGTGTTCATACCTGTGTTGGTGATTGAAATTATGAAAAAAAAATTAGGACAAATAGAAAGTGGGAGAGAGAAAGTGAGAGAGAGAAAGTGGGAGAGAGAAAGTGAGAGAGAAAAAGTGAGACTGAAAATTGAGACAGACAGACAGACAGTAGGTAGAGTGAAATAGACCCCTACTTTAACCGGACCTATTAAGCTTGTACTAATGGGGGTTCTAATAGAGCCTCCCCTCCCCCCACCCCCCAATTTCATTATAACTAGGTTCCATATGACCCGACTATGCCATTGTGTAGATAGGAGGAAGAGGAGCTGAGTTTCTCTTGGCTGGTGCAGGTCAGAGGTCATGGTGGTTCCCCTCCCCCCTTCCTTCCTATCGTCTTCCCGTTCCTCCTTCCTTCAGTCTTATTTCCCCTTTTCCTCACCTTTGTCATTATAAAAGTGTGTGTGTGTGTGTGTGTGTGTGTGTGTGTGTGTGTATTCCATCGTTTCTGAATAAATTAGACAAAATGTTTCTAAATAAAAAGACCGTGTTCAGTTAACCTCACCACCTGCCTCTCGTGATTTGACTGATAATGTTGTTATTTGTTGAAGTATGAGGGATATTTTTCAAAGTGATGATTTAAAACAGGGTAAGTAAACTATAGTCTCGGGTCACCTGTAGCCTATCGTGGCGATGTGTCGTTATGATGGAATGTGATTGAGGAAAGTTGGCAATGCTGATGAGAGGGTGGATGGATGTTAACCTTGGTTGATATTGATACTTCTATTGACTCACACACACGCACACACACACACACACACACACCCACCCACCCACCCACACACACCCAACCACCCACCCACACACGCCAATGCCGCAATTAAACACTCAAGTAAGACGAAGACCTTCACGAAAATTTAGTTAAATTTTCAGTCATGCAAACTCACTGACGACATTAAGACGACCCTCATTATGAACCCTATGGGAGGGGGTCGTAAAGTTGATTCGTCTCGGGTAACTAAGGGATGGGTTAGGTTGTTTTGGTCCGTTCCGTAACCCAGGCTTAACGACGATTGAATGGCAACACGTTCAGTTATTGTCTTATTGTTTTTATCATCATCATCATCATCACTTTCATCATCTCTCTCATTATCATCATCCTCACTTTCATCATTTTCATCATCGCTTTCATTATCATCACTTTCATCATCATCATCATCACCACCTCCCCTGCATCACCATCTTCACCATCTCAACCTTTACAACATCCCGACGTTAGCTTGTGTGCGTAGTGGTGTTGCTCATCACACACACACACACACGCACACACACACACACACACACACCCCTTCTAGTGTCACAACCAAGCAAGCAGTAACTGTCATGGTGTGTCGTTACATCACACGAAGCATCATTATGACAACCCTGACATATGACCCTCAACTGGGGGTTCTGTTAAAGAGACCGTAATTAAAATCTATACTTGAACTAAAAACAACAACAAACAAAACAATGGGAATATCTAATACAATACAGCTACGAAATATGGTACA